ATTCCTGCTTCATTTTCATTTACTGTTAATTCAAGAAGCTTGGCTGAGCAACAGTATACTTTCCTTCCTGGATATTTCAACTCTTGCAGATGAGCAAAATGGGAAGTGAAAACAATAAGCACACAGTAACATCATCATCCCTTCTTTTTCCTCACTCCTTTTCTGATCAAATTTTCCATCTGCTTCTAGTTGCCTGTACTCTTGATTTATTTTAACTACATTCACCATTGCTCACTTCAGCCAAATACTCCTGTCTCTGAGAGATACAGAGTGCTGTTGCCTACCTCCTGTGATGGCTAAAAGCAGAACCCTATCATTCTCTTTTGACTGGCACTCCCACTCACTTCAGCTTCCATTTAGAGACATCCTATTTGGTATAACCAGCTTCACGAACATTGCAAATCTCACCTTAAATTATAGTCTGTACCACCTGGCCTCCTGAGTGCCCTGTCTCTCAATTACTTAGCAGCAACACTTCTACCTTGTTCTATATAATTATGTCTCGACTTAATTTCATAAATCACTCTGGCACACGACCTGTGGACCTAATCATGCAATTCAGTTTCTCTGAGCTCTGTAGAGATCCTGGAGAGAATCACAGAAGTGTAGTAGTGCTGTGGGACATGAACTGCAATACTGGAGCACATGCATACAGAATAAATTAAGGTAGAGTGTCCTTAGAGGTGCAGTCAGGAGGCTTTACGGGCTAGAATTAGTGGTCATATGATAAAGAGAGAAAAAGAGAAAAATGTCTGGAGGGAGAGAACAAAAGAGAAAGAGGTAAAAAGGAAGGTAAGGAGCGGAAATATTTAGTTAGTTATATCGTATAAGCAATCACTAGCAAGAAATATTTCATCTTAATGAGTATGATTTTTAATATTGTAACTTACCATCGATAGCCAATTTGAGATTGGTCAGTGTAGTCCTAACTCTTGATATAACATGTTGCATGCGGTCAATTTCTTGACGGAGAAATATGTTTATGGGTTGAATAGCTCCCATCTTTTGAAGCTGGGCTTTCACCTAAACAAGAATAGTGCAACGAATATAAAATTTAATCTTCTGTTTCCCCTGCAATAATTTTTGAAAGAAAAAGTATGGTTTTTTCAATTGTATAGCACAATTCCTGAGAAAAGAAACTTTTATGTAACAGATGGCCATGTAAGTCCTGTGCCAACTTTAAGATTTAGCATGCTGTGACTCATTAGCTTACCAAAAGGAGCTCCTCCATCATTCTAAGGAGGGAAAGTTCCCTCTTTTTGAAGGGACACAGCAGTTCCTTCTGTCCTTGTTTGGCTGCAGGGTCTTAGATCTTAAAAAAAACACCACATGCTATAAAAAAGTATGTTTGATGGTAACTTCTGCATATTTCCTAATTGTGCTAGGTGAACTTTCTCACCTCTTCTTGCCCTGCTGAGTTGAAATAATGCTATAAATGGAGTTTGACTTAACAAGCACAATGATGTATAAAAGCTGCTGCTTCCAATAGCACGTGACTCACTCATAAGACAAGGTGCTCATGGATGCATTACTAGAGAGGCAAGATTGCCAGGAATAATACAGGTGCCACAGAATTCTGTTACACCATTATGTGCACTGGGTTGTGGGTAGAAGCTTTTGGCCTTCTGAACTTCTAAGGATAAGGGTTTCACTCATATTCATAAGGCAACATTTTCAAAATGGAATTAGTTGTTTGTGTTACTTAAGGACATGTCACAACAACAGTAGCAAAAGCATTCCCTGTCTCACTTTAGCATAATGATGCATATACAATATGCTTCAGACATACATTGTATGTTCCATGTATATCAAAAATCACTGTACACAACAGTGCATGAGAGAGAATTTAGTGGCACCCGCAAAAATTGTGGTGCCTATACCTCATATAGGACCAGAATTCTTGTTTTTTAAGACTTTCAAGTGTTTTTCCCCACTATGACTCAGCTTCCAGAAAGCCAACGGCCTTCTCTCTGTACTCGCTACCACCCAGCGACATGCATCATCTTTCACCTTGAAGGAATGTGAACCCTGATCTTTGCCACAGTCACTCCTTCCCTCTGCAGGTGAAATTCTGCGAGGGGACTGTGGAACCAAAAAGAGATCTCAAATAGCAAAATGAGATCCTAGATCCAGATATCTATATGGCCATTCATTTATAATAAAAGAGCTGACCCATAGGATCAGTTTGCTAAAATAATGTAAGAGTTTATTTTGAGTTTACTAACAAAAGATGAAGAAAGAGTTAGAAAGTCTATTCTTTCAAAGAGCAGACTATCATTGCAATTCTATTGCAGCCAAGTAGAAACCACAAGAGTTGGTATAATGCGTGCTATTTCATCAAGGCCAGAAGTCCACAGGATTTTGCTTTGGATTTTTCCAGATGTACTCATATATCTCATAGTATACATTATTATGTATACTACACATTATCTACACAAAGTAGTCATTACTAAAGATATTATTATACTGAATAGCAAGTTTCTGCACAATGAACATAATATAGCAGTTGAGTAGTTATAATTCCTAGTATAAATGAGTCAATGCTTTGACAATTTCCAATTCTCAAGTTTCAACTCCAAGTCCGATAAAATACTCTTTTTCAACTTTACCTGCTGTTCTCCTTGGGAGACAGCTATCAGCAAGGTTATTCATCATATTTTAATCACAAGGACCCATGAGTTTGTCAGACGGAATGTCCAAGAAATAGATGCCAGCCAATTATGCTAATACTTTGCAGTGTGACAGTTCATTTTACAGACTAGGTTAATGTGTTTCTTCCTATAAAAGAGAAAAAGCTACTAAAATCAGCTATCACAAAACTAGAGATGAGACAATAAACTCTTTTTGGATAAAACACACAACGAAGTATTCTGATTTTTTTTCATACAAAATCCAGGGAAAGCTTCTGCTTTCTGAAAATTTTACAAGAATTGGTAATTCTCCATCTTGAGAAAAAAAAAAACCTATGAATTTTTTTTTTCCAGCAAACTTAGAAGTCTAGTGCATGCCACTAATAAGAAAGGGATTATAAATATAATCCATGCATTTTATCCTTTAAATAAGAAATACACTTTTTTCTAGCCTACAGAGCATGCGTTCCTTTTGGGGATCATTTAGAGGAAGAATTTCTCCCATTTGAGGAAAAATTGCATGGAAGATGTTGTTAAAGGGGTTATTTTCCAAAATATTGATATTTATGAATCTACAAAGAGAAGATGAAATAAATATTCTAAAATATTACTGTATTGATAATCGTACAGTTTGTTTAGTGAATGCTCAGAATTTAAACATTCTTCTGATTTGTTTTCATGTACCTACAAAAATATCTATAATGTTTTGAATTATGGAGTGAACCAATAATGCAGAAATTTGTTAATCCATCCTAGATATGTTCACAGCACTCAGCCTGGAGTATCAAGCATAACCAGAGATGAAAACTGAATAAAATGACATACTTCCTACCTTATTGTATACAAATCAATCCTGATCTGCAGTGAGATTTACTAGGGGTAATATAGTGCCTTTCTTGGAAGTCTTGCTGTTAAGATTAATTTTAAATACCATCTCTGAAGTATGATTGACTGGTTTTGTATTAGAATTCTTATCAAGCAATCAGATGACTTCCTTCCAATGCTGTATTTATTATGACATAAAGAGATGGATCCCAACTGACAGAAAAAAAACTCAAAAGACAAACCTCACTAACCAAAATAGCCTTTCTGAGATTAATACACAAATTCCATAAAGCCCACTTACAACATCTCTTTTTCATTATGCAAACAGCTGTCATCTAACATAAAACAAGGTGATTTAAAAAAGGAGCAACTAAAATCATAATCTTAATAGCTTTGTCTACATGATTTTGCAATGCATATCTGTCAGATTCCTCTATGCACATTTTTTAGCTGTACTCAGGTCACCAACTCCTTTGTCACCACATACTTTATAGGATATTCAGCAGAAAAGCAGTTGCTGAACTCATGCCATTCAATGATCAGTGATCAAGTTACTGTAGTACTAACTGTCTATCATTTTCAGTAAATGCTATTATTTTCAATTAGACTTGGTTACTTGCTATACTCTTCGTTAGCAGAAATGGGAAGACCATCATTCTGTGAGATGGTCTAAATAAGAGGCCTGAAGAAGAAAGACAAGCTCAAGGCGTGTCCAAGCCAAAGCTCTTTTCAAGTGGTGTCAAGGACCACTTCCCTGTTGTATACAAGGGAAACAGGCAGTGAAATATGTGGAAAATAGCTGAAGCTCTAGAGCTGGGTGACCACTATATCTGATAGGGTTGCTAAGTAAACCAGAGCCACTTTACAAAGCATCTATGTTAGTGTTTAAGTTCAGACCCTGAAATTTTTTTTTATTATTTTTATATTTTTAGCAAATAAAATGCACTGAAAAGTAGACTCCAGGCATACAAACTGGCTTGGCTTCAAGTTAAACTAACCCAAAAGGCATGTTTCAGGAGTCTAACATATTCCAACCACCAATGGGTGTTCAGCCTACAGGCCCAGACTAGAGTTAGACCAAAATAAATTCCCCAATAAACCATCTAATGCAGGGGTGGGGTCCTCAGATGAACTCCTATTTCCATGCAATACTTGCTAATGTAGTCATAACCTCAGCAGAGGGTAAGACGAAATCAATACTACAAAAAATATTTAAGGAAAAACACCCATTGCTACTTGGGTTAAAAGCCAACCTCCAATAAAGTGCAGTATCTTTTTTCATTATAAAACTCTGTGTGTGACAGGCTGACATTTATTCTTGCATCTATCTTCACTCCCATGGACTGACTGGACCTAATCATTTTACCACTAATCTCTCTGCTACCTGTGAGGCAAAACCCAGAAGCAAAAGGGGTTATGAAAGTAGGACTCATACTCTGCCTCTGCCTTTGGAGCGTGAAAAATGAAGACAGTTTTAGGTCAGGAGGAAGGTTTATTTTGCTTTTCCATCACCTGTGTCAAACTGCAGTCTGATAAAGCATGCAAAGGTGACTTGTTTTGTTTATAGTCTTTTCGGTGGACATTGAGTCACTTATTTGACTGGTGAGAGGAAGCATTACAAGAACACAACAGCAAAAGCAGCAGCATATATCATGGGGTAAAATGGTTGCCCTGTTTTGAAATTGTTTGTTCCAAAGTCATTGCCAAAGGCTAATAATTGAGAAATGAAGGCTTCTGTGTGACAGTCTGAATTTTCTCTGGATTCACAATGTATCAAGAGAAAGTACAATCCAGGGCTCTGAATGTCAGCAAATAATTGGTTTCAGTACCATCCATCTCTAACCTAGTCTGCTGGGGTTTTAACTCTGATCAAATTCACTCCACACTTTCAAAAGGCAGCCACAAGAACTGATCAAAGATAGCAAAGGCACCTGCCACTTTCCCTGAAGAGTATTTGCTTTTAATTACCTTCATTTGTTTCCTAATTTTTTTGTTCCTTTTCTCCACTGATAGTATCTCTGTAACTGGATTCCCAAAGACTACCATGTCGTGGTCTTACTAGAGCACAATATTCTTCCAAAAGCAAGCCCATGCTGCATTGCTGGACTAATGAATGTTTTTCTTTTTACTGCTCTTATCCAATGAGGCATGCATAGGAACCCTTTTTGACACATTCCCTCAGTCTCTTACAATTTAGTATATTGGTTTTGTTTCAGGATTGTTAAACTGATGTAGTAGGTAATAATGTTGTGAATATAGGTAATAATGTCCTGAATGACCAAATGTTGACTTAAATTGACAAAAACCAGAACTCATCTCATTCCCTTTCTTTCAGACATCACAGGCAGTAATTACAAAATCCATTTCGCTCCTTATACTTGTAAGTTTAATGTCATTTGCTTATTATATTGTAGCTTCTGCTAAATTCTGTTGCTTCTTCCCTCAGACAACATCTAAACTCTCCCTTCTTTTCTGGTCTAATGAAATTCTTGGTTATATGTTAGTGAACATAATCTTTCTTTTTTTTTTTTTTCCTCTTGGTATTTTAGACATTCTTTTTTTTTATCAGTTTATGCAAACTTTCATGTAAAAAATTAGCTTTCTTTACAGCTTACTCCTGCCCTCTCCACCCAAGAGGTTCCAGAGCTTCAGTTCAGATGAGAAACACATTTGATACAGATTTTTTGCTTATTGTGTAGAGGTCACCACACTCCTGGCACCATAAACAACTGCAGCAGATGTGGAACTGGGCACTAATGGGAGAAAAGGGAAATTCCTCTCTGACAAAGAAAGCACTGGTAAAGACCCAAACAAGTTCTAACATCTAGAGAATGAGAGAAAGGGTAAATCCACTACACAAAATGAAGAAGGAAATATTGAAGAATCAGGAACTGCAAGAAATAATGTCAAATCTCTTAATACTGCAGAAGAAGCATCTGAAGTTGCCATGCAGCTGACACTACCAAAGAGATGTACAGAGGAACACCTTCTTATCAACAATAAACTATTGGAAAATGACCAGAGGATGCTCTGTAGATGCTCAGAGCAAAGGAATGACTACCATGATACAGAAACAAAGAGTAATTTTTTGATAGTAAAGTACCATGTCATCCATCAGTAATGTGGATTGAAGAAACAGCACGTAAACAGAGTGGCGTGATTAATCAAAGGGAAGTGCAATTCACAGATCAAGATGTACAGAGCTTTAGAAAACTAGAAATCACCAGGAAGAGGTGGTATCTACACTTATTGACAAAGGAATGAAACAAACTTACATCCTGAGCTCAGAATACATTTACAAGAAATACAAGGGGGAAAAGTAGATCCAACAGGACATCCTCTAACTGTGCTTGTAAGAACGAAGCAGGGGGAGGAGGGAAAGCAAGCTGATGCTGAAGTATTAGTACCTAATATTGGTTTGTGCTGTACAAGCATGAATCTCCTTACTTGAATCATAAGAGAACAGCTGTCAAGCAAATTGAAGCAAAAGAGGTTTCCTTGAAGCTCAGAGAAGATGTCAGAGAAGTGGTACAGAAGCAAAGAACTGTCTAATTGTGAGCATCATTATAAAGATGATTGCTTGTAAGAAAATAAAACCTGCATGTATGATTGGCAGACTATGAGAAAAGATAATAGCTTTGTCATACTACTGGATGATGAAAGTGAAAGAGCACTGAAAATAATTGGTTATGATTTTTTTACACAGTCACATGGATAAAGTATGTATTGTGCCCAAATACAGTAGTAAAACAGAGACAAGAGTGCAGGGTAGAACTTTCAAAATAAACCCTCCAAACTCTTTATCCTTAACGGTAGCTCCTGGGTCTGTAACTGGTTGCCTCCAAAGCTAAGACACTCAAGGAAGTGACTGAAAAGAGGAGGCCTATCCTGTGTGTGTTTTGTGTGGATAACCTGAGTGAATAAACCAAGAAGGAATGAGAGTGAATGAGACCAAGATTAAACAGAAGAAATGCCAGAGAAAAGTAGTATTTGTTCAAACCATTTAGAAGTCAAATTTGGATTAAACAAGCGTGTGTGCATTTTACAAAACTAAAAGGCACTGCGCAAATCACCCAGAGGTAAAATCTGAGGGCAAGAATACCCCCTGGTTACAATATAAAGTCCAGTACTATTGACGTCTTCTAAGTATTACGAATTCTTCAGGAGGAAAAAAGTTGGCAGTTTAACAAGGGAATGAAGAAATACTCCTCTGGAGGATTTAGCAAATACATTGAAAGAAGTTAGCTCAATACACATATTACAAATATGGCAAAACCATATATGCCAACACCATTCAGTATTCTATTGCTATTGCAAATTGAAAAAAAAAAAAAAAAGAATTCTAAGGAGTTGAATAAAACTCGAAAAAAACTAGTTCCATGAAAAAGCTTTACTCTGATAGGAAGGATAAGGGAAAAGGACTGAGAACAGTCCAAGGTGTAGATTATAGGTATAGATCCAAGGTGTAAATTACTAAATTTATTAAATTAGTAATTAAGTGTGATTATTATACTTACTAGATTTAATTTTATTTGATATTTACAATATTTATTTATTAATCAATAATAATGTGAAAATTAGAAAACTGACTCCATCCCAAATCAAATTCTACAAATAAATTATTTATATACTATCACTGGCGATCACTTAATAAGCAGGTGACAAGAAAAAGAGAGATACAAGCAGAGATGGATGGAAAAATAACTATATGAAGAAAGCTGTGAAGCTATGAAGAAAGCTATGAAGAAAGCTATGAAGAAGCTTCATAGCTATGAAGAAACCTATGAAGAAAGCTATGAAGAAACCTCACCAAAAAAAGTTGCAGATTGTAAGGATCTTGCCAAGAGGGGAAAGAAAAGAGAAGTTCTGAGTTGAATTATGATAGCAGAGAAGAGGCTATTTATACAAGAGGTATTACATCTGAGATGAATAGTGGAACAGAAGACAGGAAATATTGTCAGGGCCCCAAGACTATTGGTTGCAACCTATGCGCACATTCTAAGTTGGCCAGAGAAGAAAATACAGTATAACATAACAAGTTGCAATACTGCATACTGGGCACTTTGCAGGCTTGGACTGCAACCAGAGAAAAAAACCCAAACCGCTATCAGTGCAAAACAGAATTGTAAATAATAAAATTGTGGAAATTAGGGGTTTTCAACAGTTACTGTTCATGAAACACATGGCAAGACACCAGATCCTACTTACCAACTGATGCAAGAGTGTTTATGCTGGAATTTTCCATTTAATGAGACTGTTAATCAAAAATGCAAGAAAAGATTGGCAAATATATCTCTTATAGCTCAAACTCTGATGAAAAGCTCAGTGATAAAATCCATTATTCATGATGGTGGTATCATAATAAGAGTAGGTAAATTGAAAGCTGGAACCACTATAAAATCACTTATCCTTCAGAAAGAGGCACCAGTGTCCTTCTCTAAGTTACAAAAGAGAACTTTCTGAAGTCTCTAATGGCTATTCTGACTTAAGGTGACTAATTAAGTGGACTATGGCATTTGAAATATATGTTTCTGATGTAGGAAAATTTTAGATAATAAATGGAAACAGACTTATAAAACAGTATGCATAATTTTAACAGCTTTTTAAAACACGTTCCAGTTAAATTTAAGCAGCACAATAAAACTTATAAAACATATACATACATACATGCATACATAAACCATCTGTATTTGTAAAGCAGCATATACCTCATGAGGGTTATAATCTGGAGGTAACTTCTCTAGCATCTCATCAGCAAGACGCTGCACCACTGCTTCTCGGGTTTCCCCTCCTCCAGTGCTTCTGTCTTTGGGCTGGATGCTCACTATTGTACTTAATGTCTCATTAGCCAGGTTAGTCTGGTAAGTTATATCTGCATTAGGGTGAAGTCCAAACACCTTAAAGTAAAAGGGAAACAAACAGAAAAAACTTGCAATTTTCCTTCTAAAAGTATATCAATGAAAGTATCAATGAAAATGGATAAACAAGGAAGAAAATTCTCAGCTCTATAAAATTATACATATGAATAGGTCAGTGAAAGTACACTTATTTAACTGGCCAAGGATCAAGCCTAAATTACACAAAAACATTAACATAGGCTGCATATACAATAACATGTTCATTCATATGAGTGTTGGGGTTTTTTTTTAACTGATCTCCTGATTATCTTCACATAGCAGACTTCGGATGATGTGTGCAGTGCTATCAGGGAGTACAAACTGATTCCTTTCCACTGGATCAGTCTAGACCTTATTGGAAATATGTCATATGTGGACACTGACTCCTCATCACTAGCTCTTTGTCTCTACAGATCTATTGCTGTTGTACCAGCTCAAGTAGATGCCCCTAATAACCAGACCAGTTACCATTTCTAACACATTTTGGTTTAGTCAGTCTCTTAGGCTAATAAGGGATGCAGCACAATGAATAAAGCACTCCTCATATTTGAAGTACCTAAAGATTTTATGACTGGTGATATATTCAGGATATTTTATGGTTTAGCTATTTCTGGTTTAGGTCTCCTAGTCCTTACTTCCCCTTCTTCTGAAATTGAATTACTTTATTTAAGATACAGCTAGCATAGAATTACTGCAAAGCTGCCCTTTGTCTGAATGATAATAGCTTTCTCGGAAACTTCCGCTGAAATATCAGTAAGTCTGTACTTGTCAGGATGACAATTGCAACTCTTCTCCAGGAGGAATTGTACTGTGACTTATTTCACAAGCCTTCATTTAATTATAGCTATTAACTGTCTCTTACAAACTTTGAACCACTGATCCAACAATGAGGAAGGCTTGCCCTCAAACTGAGCACCAAAGCCAAGCAATCTTCCATTTCTCATTTTTCATGTTTTCATATTTTACATTAGAATTGGTATATTACAAGAAACGCATAGTAACCAATATTTACATACTCTGAGGACAGAATAAAAAGGGCCATATGTAATATTGTTATGCTTGCAAATCTAGAAACTCAGAGACAAGGGATATAAGTGGCTGCATCTGTCTCAAAGCCAGCAAAGCTGCAGTGATTTACACCAGTTGTGGATCCAATCCTTACAACAGCACAAAGAACACAGTACAGACCTAATATCGTGTGTGAGAGAAGGTGTGACTATAACAAGCATGGAATTATGTTCCAAGTAGGATTTACCATGTTCTACACACAGCAGTTTACTCAACCTGACTATTTAGAGCTGAAAAAAGTGAAAATATCAATGCATTTTACTTATCATGGAACGAAATACACCTTTGAAGATACACTCTTTTCTGCTTTTGCGCTTGCACAATAAGGGTTGGTCGGTTTGGTTTTGCTCTAGCCATAGGCCAAGTTAGAAGCATGAAAAATATCTGCTATTGTGAATGTAAATTGTAGCGCTAGTCCAAGAGCTAACTTCATAATTGATGTAATATTGCCAAGACAGGGATGTTACATGGGAGACAACTCTGGTCCTGTGTTTTTATGCAAGTGATGTATGAAGGAATAAGAACAAAGAAACCAAAGTAGGAAAGCAATGGGTGGACCAGTGTCCTGGATGTCCTATAAATTAATCTAGCAGCCAAATTTCTCATTCTTTTTGATCCAAAATCTCTGGGAATTTTGATTAAAAAGGGGATGTTGGATTCTGTCTTTCAGGTTTTTTTAGCCTGATAAATCCTCAAAACCAATTGCTAAAGCTCTATACCCTTCTGAAATCAAAGTAATTTTCAAAGGGATTGCTGAGTTCAATAGCCCTCTTCAGAAGTCAGCGTTTATTCTGATCAGTGGTTGAAATTTCATCAAAAGAGCAAGGATACAGCAATCAGACTTATTCAGTCTTTCTTTCTTAACCAAAAATGGAAAGGGGAGGAAACAAAGATACACTGTTTTGACTTGCACAATATCCTTTGTGGAACAAAGAAGACTGGGAGCTTAAAAGGTTAAAGGTTTCCATGAGCAATTTTGACAGATTTTGGAATGACAGAAGAACATCATAGCTTTCTTCCTAACCTGTGAAAATGTGAAAGAGGAAAAGATGTTTGCATTCTTGGACTTGATGCTATTTACATAGAAGTCAAAGGTAAAATTCCCCTACAGCAAACCATACATACAGATTTTTTACAGGCATCAAAATACTTTAAAAATACATTGCAGCATTGTGAGATAGGTTCCCAAGTGCTTAGAAAAGCAGATTCATGAAAGCAGCACCTGAAATCTGATAGAGTCAAGGTTCATACACTGACAGGAACCACTTCATGAGCTGGGCTCAAATGGATCCCACTGGTGCATTATCATGGCTGTATTTACCCTCACTTGGAAAAGGTGCATCATTGCCAGCACAAATACCTTTGCATTCTGCTTTTACTACCTTCAGAGATTCAAAGCTTCTCAGGTTTATGACCTTGGAATCTTCTTGCCCTCTTAACCAGCACATTATCAGTTACAGAAAACCAGATTTTTTCTGTTCAGCCCTGTCTATTTAATTTTGATAGAACTTAACTCCAAAGGCATTTATCAACTTCATAGCAATGAGACAGAAATCCATTCACTTCTGTTTCAATTTTACCTTCATAGAATCATAGAATCACAGAATCATACAATCGTAGAATGGTTTGGGTTGGAAGGAACCATAAAGACCATCTAGTTCCAACCCCCCTTGCCATGGGCAGGGACACCCTCCACTAGACCAGGCTGCCCAAAGCCCCATCCAACCTGGCCTTGAACACTTCCAGGGAT